GTGGGGAGATTTCTTTTTTGCTAATAATTTTTCTCCAAAAATAGTATCAGTTTCTTATAAAACAAAAAAAAAACTAGAAATTTCGTCGTAAAAACGTTAAAAAATTAGAAATGCTTGTTTCTAAAGATTAATTTTTCTTTTTTTTTAGAAAAAAAATTTAAAGATTTCAAGAACATTTTTACGAGTTTATCAACAGAACCGTCAAATTTTACGAGTACCACTCAAAGGTTCAATTTTTTTTTTTCATCTTACAATATTATGTTTGTAACCTTCAGAATAAAAATAAAAGTAACCATATAACAACGTCTCTAACGCAGTTGTATGTTGCAAATCTGTATTACCCTTAACCTTAGTTGTAACACTATGAATTTACTCTTTCATTTCAAATTATTTTACAGAGATACCTAATTGAACCTTTTCTATTTGTGACGTTTTCTTTATAAAAACAAGATTGTCAACAGGTATTTCTGATTTTTTTTTTCGAGTTACTTCGTCAATGCATTAACTTAAAAAAATGTCATCTAAATGATAATGCTTCTAGAATTTGCCTCAGCAAGATCTGTTTACTGTTGAACGATAAGTTTATTTAGTAACTAGAGCAACAAATACTGTGTATTATCAGCTGCCAAGTCGTCCGAAGCTAAGTGCGTAGAATTCCTAAACAGATAAACAAGGAATAACAAAAATTTTGCTAAAAAATGTGGCAATAAACTAAAGAGTTAGGAAAAGAAAGATGAAATTCAATAGCTTACAATGTCAAGACAGTTGTGAAAAAATAATTTGTCATAATTCAAGTAAAAAAAATATGAAGTGTAATCTGTTACTGATATCATAATACTATTCTCATTTGCAGCAAGCTGTAGCAATAAAAAACAACCAATTTTTTTTGTCTTTCCAACTTTTTATAGCAATTTTATGAATGCATATGATAAGTTGATAATAGAAATGTTATCAACAGCAACAGTCCTAACAACATTGATAATAATAACAGTAAAAGTTACAGTAAAGAAAAGCGGAAAAAGGATAGTAAACCATTAATAGAGACGACTTTTGTATCCAAATTGAAACGAGAAACTATGTACTTATTTGTTATCTAATCTATCATTCTTCTTCTATATTTAAATGATGTTGAAATAAAGGAAGAATGATTAATCCACATATTTTTTTTTTTTTTTGGTTTGGTACGCCTTTCACGGTTTACTCTTGTTGCCGCATTTTAGCAGGCATGCTTTACTCCTCAAAAAGTTTAAAGCTGCCTATTCATAGATTTTAAAAGACAGGAATTAGACAAAGCAAAGTTTCCAAGTGAAATAGAAAAAAGTGAATGAACTTAAAGAATAACTTGAAGAATTAGTTGTAATTACAAATGTTGTTGAATTTCCTCGATTTCACTTGTTTTTGCTCATCCAGCACGGTCGTTTTTGTCCAGTTTAAATATCCACTGTAATGACGTATGAGCGTTGAACAAATATTCGTTGAAACATTGTTCAGAATTAACTGACATAAGGTAACGACCAGTAGAAGCTGCAAAACGGGATCAAAGCTTAAGGAAAGTACAACATTCTTGCTACATATTTTAAAAATATCGTCGCAAAAGAATAAACATTACGAAGACACATAACCATATTTTTTTTTTTATTTACCATCAACAAGCAATAAACATAAAGGTTACTAAGCACTTGACAAAATTGATTTTTTATTTATCTACAAGATGAGAAAGAAGTGGCAAACAGACTTTTCTCACGACAGACAAAATCAGAAGTGATAAAAAAAAAGCAAAATCTATAAAAAACTAACTTCTGCAAAGATAGTTTTGTTACTGCAACTCAAGATATTTTAAATATAATTTTTAAATACTGATGGTTTCAATCTTCGTATTCAAAAGAGATATGCAAAAGCCTAACAAACAAACAACGTTTAAGACAGAAAAATAACACACAAAGAAAGATATCAAAAAACCAAAGAATTTGCGAGCATTTATTGCAACAAAACATGGTACTTACTTCAGCGATAAACAGTGATAAACCAAAACAAGAGCAAAAAATGGAAAACACTTGAAAAATAAATAAATTGAAACGGTGGATAACAGCAGGCATTTGGTGCAGAAATCGTCTTAGAAAAACACATCTTATTTGCTAAAAGTTCCAAAGCTCCAAAGCCTTGCTTTTTTTTCAAGCCATTAACTACTACTTCTCTTTTCTAAGCAGAAAAACAAAATTTGACTGAATGCTTCATTTGTTAGATCTTTTAGCTGTGATATTTTACAGAACTTGGATAGCTAATTTTGTATTTTCCAACTAGCCTCGCAGGTTTTCAGCCATATCTGATTTTAGATTAGGTTGTATGCGTTACCTTTCATGACAAAATTGCTGCTTATCAACAACAATTGCAAATGTAAAGAACAACTAAAATTAAATAAGTTCTGGCCAAGCTGTTTTTTACGAAGGTAACTTTTTTGGCAGGATATTTTTGGCAGGATATAAAACAGAGTGCCGCATTTGTCGCCAAATTAATAAGGCTAGGTTGAAAAGTTTACTAGAATTGGTAGATAGTAACACTCAGTGCCCTGTAGATGAGTGTATTAAGTAAGTCTTCAGCACAATGCGAAGCTCCTTACCGAATTGTCAGACCTCAGACTTTGGCTATCAAATTTGGGTCATCATCAAGAAAAGTATAAAATATGTATAGAATATAAACAAAATTGTCAGTTTGTGATACACAGTAACAAGCATAACAAGGTTAAAAATTAATAACAGAAAAGATTAAAAATAAAGAAATTAAAACAGATAAAGCTATAAAAAGGGAAGTTTATCTGGCTGGCTATTACCATAACGCATCGCTGTACAATGGGTTTTTTCCTTAGCGAACTGAATGAGTTGATCGGCTTCGCTTAACATGCATGTTTTAGCTGCTTCCTTGGCGCCAGTCCCCAATCAGCCCCCATGAGCTTAGGGTTCGCGTTGGTTGAGGATGTTATTTTATGATCAAAAATAAAAGGTTTTTTTATAGGCAGTAATAAACAGCATTAGTCCAGCATAAAAAGTGTCCTTAGAATGTCTGTTTCCTGCTTACGCAAACACTTTTTTGGTGTGATTTACACACGTGTTTAGCAATCACATACACTCTTCTAGAAGGAAATGGATCAAACAAGCCAGCCCAATTTTAGAATTAAACATTCTACAAATTTTGGACCATAGGTTGCCGTTAGTTTGACAGGGCGACATGCGGAGTGCTTACTTTTACCACAAAATCAGGATAATTACCAGAAAAACAATCAAGTAAAGATATTTCTTTTGTTATAAATATGAGCCTTGAGACGTACATAAAAAACGTATAAATTTCTCTTTCTAACCTTCCAAAAAAAATACCAAAGAAAAAAATCAAGTTGCTCAGTAAAAATAATTTCTTCAGTTTAAAATGCCTTATTGCAGTAACGCTTCTTTTTTTCTGAGAAAACAATTCGATGTCTTTCCAATATGCATATATGTATTGCTGTTGTTGGCTTTTGTTTAAGGAGAAAATTTAGATGCATTCAGCCACGATATCAGAGTCAGTAAAAAGAGTTCCTTTGTTGAAAGAAGTGTGAAGTTGCTTTATCTAGCACTCGGACAGTGACCTTGTTTCTCTTCCAACAATTTCCACGACAAATAGTTTCAATCAGCGACTGTTTTTTACATTAAAGCTTTGAAAAAATAAACTTTTCTGCTAGAACTCAAAGGTTGGGGAGATTTTTACGTAATACGAACTGAACACAAAACGGTAATATCTGAAAAGTTCTGTCTTTTATTTCCTCACATTTTCTCACAATTCGCTATTATTTTGCAGTATACGGCGTTGTAAATGGCTTTTCGAAACGGTCACTTGAAACTAAAAAGACACATAATAGAGAAATGAACTGATGTAATTTCTGAAAAGCAAAAGTAAGGTATGTAATTTAAGAAAACATATCTATGTAGACTGTTATTTGAATCAAACAGTTTTTCAGCAGGTGGTTTCTGATTGTCAATGAAAGTAAACAATGTTACGCTATGCAGTAAACTTTTTTTGAAAGCTTTTACAGCTTTTTACTGGAAGAAAATTCAATTTTTGGTTAATTTTGACACCATTAAACAAGCTAACGTTATCAAATCCACAAATTCATAACTTTTGTGCGAATTATCTTTATGTAAGTTTGAAAAGGTAAGTGTACGTCTTTGTTGCAAAGTGGTGGCAAGCTTACCTTCTAAGCCTTTCTGTAATCGATCATGCCTTTTCGTCTCAATTTATTTTGTTTAATTTCATTTTAATAAAAAAACTTATTTTAGGTCGCACTTTTGCGCACTATAAACAAGCACGGACGAGAACTTCAGAAAAAAAAAAAAAAAAAAAAAAA